TTTTTTTTTTTTTTTTTTAGGGCAACATAGTTTAAGAAAGTTAAATATGTTTGTCCAGGGACGTCCAGAGACCTGGGGTCTAGAAAAGAAGACTTAGAAGAAATGATTAAAGAGCAAAAGGGTTAGATTAAAAAAAAGAAGCCTAAGGGAACTGTCCTGTTGCTATGCGAAGCTTAGATGAGACGGTTACCCGCCACACCGACACCATTTTACAAGTGGGGCCTCGGAGCCCAGAGGGGGGAGTCGTCATACGGTGTCACACAGTGAGATGGTGGCGAAACCTAGACCACATCTCCCGCAGCCCCGCGCTCTCACCATGTTTGTTCCCTGGCGTGTAGCGAGTTGTCCTGTAACCTCGGAACCAGCTCGAACCAGTTCACCATTGCTTAGGCTGCTCCAGACTTTGGCACAGAGCCAAAACTGCAAGTCGCGTCGCTCAGGCACCTGCAGTGGGCAAAAGCTTTAACCTCCTGATTGCTGCCAGCGCCAGGCTGGCACACGGGCTGCGCTGGCATCACCAGGGACTCGTTAAGAAAGCCAAGAGCTCGGCCCACCCCAGACTGGGGAGACAGACTTGAGTGTTGGCCCCTGTCTCCGTGCCAGTCAACTCTCAATAAAGCCTTTTCTTTTCTCAAAAGTCAGTCCCATAGAATTGGCTTCTGCGCACGTCAGGGACTGAGCCCGTTGCTTCAATCCCGTTAGCCCAAGAGTACGACCTCACAGAGGAGAGAACCCACGTCCTGTCTCCTGCAGGCCCATACACTCTACCCTTCCTCAGCCCTCATCAGGGGTTTGCGAACTCTCCTCACACTGGGCCCTCCCTAAGTCTGCCCTCCGTCTTTCTTGCTGTAGTTGTCCGGCTCCACAGCTACCCACATGCAGCTACCCACATGGAGCTACCCACATGCAGCTACCCACATTCAGCTACCCACATGGAGCTACCCACATGGAACTACCCACATGGAGCTACTCACATGGAACTACCCCACATGCAGCTACCCACATGCAGCTACCCACACGCAGCTACCCACATGGAGCTACCCACATGCAGCTACCCACATGGAGCTACTCACATGGAACTACCCCACATGCAGCTACCCACATGCAGCTACCCACATGCAGCTACTCACATGGAGCTACCCACATGGAGCTACTCACATGGAACTACCCCACACGCAGCTACCCACATGCAGCTACCCACATGCAGCTACCCACATGCAGCTACTCACATGGAGCTACCCACACGCAGCTACCCACATGCAGCTACCCACATGGAGCTACCCACATGCAGCTACTCACATGCAGCTACCCACATGGAGCTACCCACATGCAGCTACTCACATGCAGCTACCCACATGGAGCTACCCACATGGAGCTACCCACATGGAGCTACCCACATGCAGCTACCCACATGCAGCTACCCTACACGCAGCTACCCACATGCAGCTACCTACTTATTGGTAAGTAGAATTTCCAATACTCAGGTCCTCTGCTCGTGCCCAGTGGGGCCGTGCTCTGGGGGGATTGGGGGTGCCGCTGGCATTCACAGGAGTCAGGTCTACGGGTTCATAGTGTCTGAACTGAGCTTCTCACTGACCTCCAATATAACCTCCCATCCTTTGATGCCTAAAATTTCACTGTGAAGATAATCCTTTTGGTTTAAAATTTATTGAATCCAAAGACCCTGGGTTGGGGGTAGCACTACAACCAGTCCAGTCTCAACCCTTTTTTCCCCTCTGCCTGGCCCACGTGTGTGACATTCTCTCAAGAGCCACATTCCTCGTGATTGGTAGAGAGTGGAAAGTCCTGGCTTTTCAATACGTGTGAAATTCCTTCCTGAGATGGAGCCAGAGGGCGCAGGGCTCCTGGAAGTGCCATTCAGGCTCCTTTGGCACCTGGGAGTCACGCTGGGGCCGAGGAGCAAGTGGCAGTGACCTCGTGAGATGGGGTGTGTGCGCTCTCTGGTGGGGGCGAGGCCATACTGCAGGCCTTTACGGGCTGCGTGCTTCAGACGGAACTTGCTCCTTAAGGAGCAATAATGCACGATAACTTGGGCTCCGAAGAGTGACTTTTTCTGTGCTACTTTTACCTGCAGAGCTGTTGTTTGAATATAGCTGTAACATAACAGTTTTTCTTAGCTTTTGTGTTTTGCTTGGTTTCCACTAGTGTAAACCCTCGGTGTTTCTGTATTAGGTGGTTATTTCCCTAACCTGGCAGAGGCCTGTGAGCAGCGTCCCGTGAGCCTTGAGTTAGCACAGCGCCCTGTAAACGGTGTGATGCTGCCACCTGTCGCTCCACACGTGCTCTGCACTCACTCCCCATCTCAGCCAGCACGCCGGGTCCCCATGGCTGGGAGAGCAGCTGTGACAACGGCTGAGGCACTGCGTGCTGATCTGTGTCCACCTTGCTCCCTGACTTCCAGCAGGCGTGCGGCCCTGGTGCGCTGGGAGTGCCCCAAAGGCTAGGTGCGTTTCTCCTGGAGGCAGCTGGCCCGGCTCCTGGAAAGCTTTTAAACCTTTTGCAGAACGAGGATGAGGCCAGCCCAAGCCTGCTGTGAGTCCGCTCACCGGGTTAGTCACCTTCGTAAGTGCCCAGGGATGCGGATGTCTTTTTATTGATAAGAGTTACCCAAAAGAAATGAACACTCTGATACTATAATAACCGCCCTGTCCTGAGTCCATTCCAGGAACAGAGCACCCTTTACCCAGGTTTATGGCCCGATAGATTGAGACACAGAAAACTGTGGACTTTTTAATGTCATTCTGCTTCTTTAATAGTGGAGAAGAGTACACAGTGTGCCCTTAAAAGATTAGCTGGGCCTAGTGGCGCACGCCTGTAGTCCCAGCTACTCAGGAGGCTGAGGCAGGAGGATCGCTTGCGTCCAGGAGTTCGAGGCTGCAGTGAACAGCCTGGGTAACAGAGCAAGACCCTGTCTCTAACGTAAAAAAAATTAAGTTAAATTAAAAATCACTAGAGACCGGGTGCGGTGGCTCACGCCTGTAATCCTAGCACTCTGGGAGGCCGAGACGGTTGGATCGCTCAAGGTCAGGAATTCGAAACCAGCCTGAGCAAGAGCGAGACCCTGTCTCTACTAAAAATAGAAATAAATTAATTCTTCACAGGATAAAATAAGCTCATTCTTGGCCCCTCCTTTTCCCAGGCCACACCCCAGGGTAGACCCAGTGAAAGCTCTCAAGAATTTACTACACAACTGGATGGACACTCTGTAGGTCAAGAAAACATCACTTTTCTTTGCAGCTGTCTTCTACCCCTCCTGCAAGCGTATCCTCCTTTTTCTCACCCTCTGACATGTAAATAAAACCTCTGAAGGAGCCACACAGCCTCTAGTATCTTGGCTTTTATAAACTACGAATGCCTAAATTTTAGTTTCTCATCCTTTCACATGTAAATACGTAGGGACAGAACACTGCTAGGAATCCTGAGGCTTAACGTAGGGACCTAATCCAAGCTGTAACCATCTGACTCTCTCTGGAACATAAGTTTCATTATTCTTTTGGATAATAACCTGACAAGATAAATGACTACAGATCTAATTCTCATGGTATATGAATGGCCTAATGAAGCTAAGGCTATTAGAGGAACACTAAGGAATCCAGATATGTTGTATTTCCCAATGTTGTAAGTTAGAAATCCACACAATGACATCTTTAAAGTGCTTAATGAAAATGACAACTGGTAAAGACTCTCCTTGGACCAGATGTTAATCAGGGTCCCCATGAGCCCTCTGCTGGACTAGGCCTGGCCTTGGGTTTCCCTCTGTCCCTGGAGAATCCATTTGAGCAAGAATCCTGCTATCCTTCTAAGTCAGTTTAGCAATATTTTCCACTCTTGGGCTCTGACCACCTTCAATATCTTATCAAATTTCTTATCCCCACCCTTAATATCTTACCACTGTGGCCAGCCTTTGCCAAAAATTCTGTTAAGTTGATCTTCTCAATGAAGGATGGCCTTGTTAGTGAAATAAAAGAAAAAATACCGATAACTAACTCATAGTTTCTCAGTAAGGGCTAAGATCAATCATACGAGCTTTCTGTCTGTCTGTCTGTCTGTCTCTCTAACAGGCACGACATGGAGATCTGTTGTCACAAAGTCTGAAAAGAGCTGAACAGAAAGGAAATATAATTTTTTCTTTTTTACATTCACCATACTTATAGACTAAAACCTGCTTTTACAATTTGCTTATTACAGCCTTGAAGAATTCCTGAACAGCCAGGCAGCAAGGTTGCAGGTGTGAGCTTCGGGCCTCAGTTCCTGCCCAAAACCATATTTCGAGGGCAATATTACTGACAAGCTCACAATCACCAGGGATGAGCCTCTCTCCAAAGGAAAGGCAGCTGCTTCTGTTATCAGTCTGCTGCTGAGAAAAGAGAAGAAGTGGATGTAGCAGTTCACAGTACTCTGTTAATCTGGCTGCAGCCATAAATCTTCACCCTAAATAACAAGCCTGAGTAGCTGGTTTTCCAGGCCAATACTGTCTCCCTTTTCCACTTCTGTGTTGGCTCCTTTTCCATCTAGAAAAAGTAAAATAAACTTTTTTCTTGTTTCTATTCTAATTTTGGAGAAATCTTTCTTAAAACCCATGTGGACTAGCTACACCCTAACAAGTAATGTAAAATCTAAGCTGTTGGAACTCTAAATTAGTTTTTTGTCTTTATTAGGATAAAAGATAAATCAAATGTTTTTAGGTCAAATGAGTAAGAAAAAAGCAGATTACATAGCAGACACTTCTTCCTCTGACACCTGCAATTTCTAAAAGCATTCACAATATTTTTATTAAATTCTGAGCAAGTACAGCTGCAAACAAATACATAACATTTTCCACAAGAACACTTTGTGATAAAGTACATACAAATATGGTTTCTTTAAAGTGTTATCTCACCTCTGGCTTGAGAACCACCTGTGTCTTTCAACACAACTCCAATGCTATTGTCAGGTGACACAGGCAAAGGAGTAAACGTGGCCAAACATCTGAGATGGGTTTCAAAGGAAGACGCCAGGGCCAGCAGGTCCCAGTGTGGCCAGGTTACTAACAGGCACAGCTGCGGAACAGGGAGCCAAGAATGGATGTACCTCTGTTCTCCCACACCTGGATTTAATTGTATCTTTAAAACTCCCAGGCACGTTTGTGTCTAGTTTTCTCCTTCCTGGTGAGGTTTCTCCTTCCTCTAGAGGTTTCATATCCTGGATAGAAAGCTTTGGTGGTGGAACAGCTGGATGAAATTCTGTTTCCAGAAATTTAGCAAAAAATTCCAAAAAAGAACTGTTAAGCACAGATTGCTGATTTGGCCTCAAAGGTAGTGTTGGGGACACTGTTTGATGCTTCTCCAAGCCACCGGGTCATCCACCTGGTAACACCGCCTTGATCTTCACCAAACAACTGCTCCATTGCCTCCCCTCTGACACCCAGGATGCTCCCATCAGTCGTAGCACTTCACAACGCTGATTTCTGGTTTGTGGAAGTGTCCAGTGAAGAGGTTTTACATCAGAACTTTGTCCACGTTGCTGTCTGTGCTGTTTACTAACTTCATCAGTTTCTCTTGTAGATCATCCAGCGCTTCTTGTTGGAGCTCATTTTGATTTTTAAGTTTTTCAATGTGTTCTTCCTTTAGCTCTAACTGTCCTGTAAGTTGTAATGCTGAATCCAGTGTAGTATTTGCTTCGTCCAAACGTTCCTGTAATGATGTCACTTTTCCCTCCAGATTTTCTGCCTTTTTATCCCATTTAGCTGTGAGTTGATTTTGCTTTTCTAGCTCAGCCAAATGCATATCTTTTTCCTCTTGTTGGAAATGCTCTACTACCATCTGCAGGTTGGCTGGTGACAGCGCGTGCTGCTTCACTTGGTCCTGAGAGACAGAAAGCTGCAGTGCAATTTCATCCCTCTGCTTGGAGACTGCACTCAGTTGTTTTTGCAATGACTGCACCTGCACCCTGGCTTGATGGCCTGAATTTTCCACTGCATTGTCCACTTCTAGTTTACTAATATCCGTTCCTAAAATTAATATTTTCTCCTTGAGGGTTGTTACTTCCTGCCTCAAAGTTCATTTTCATTTAATTGTTTAGTGAAATTCTCATTTGAAGAAAGTAACTGATCACTTTTGGCTTTGATTAAGAAGACTTTTTCCTTAAGTAACCTTTGTAAAATATCTTCTTTGTCCTTTAGCTGCTTAATATCTGCATCGGTTTGCTCATATTTTTTCATTCCAGCTCTGTGGAGGTAGCAATCAAGTTGGACAATCTGACATTATTTTCCTGAAGAGTTCTAGTTGTTGTTTTCTTGCAGTCATTCCCTGAGCTACTCTATCTCTTGCTGAAGAAACTGAGAAGACTCAATCAAGACATCAGATTTGTTCCAAGACACTCTGCTGATGAGGGAGTAAGAGATGATCCAAGAGAGAGCTGGTGTGAAATATCCAGTTCTCCTAAAAGACGATCCTTGCTATCACAAAGCTGCCCTGTGCTGCGTTGAACTTGTGCTAATTCCTCAACAAAAATTTTTAGTTTGGTTTTATTCTGCTCACAACTTTGGATCAGATCAGCATAGTCCACTTGTAATCCATCACTATAATCACTCTCAACCAAAGCTCGTGCTTGAAGTTGATGAAGTTCTTCCTGAAGTTGGACCAACTTATGGTGTGTATTTTGTACTGTGGTCATAACCTGCTGTGTCTGCTCTTCCATTTTCTTTACTTTCTGATTTAATTCATCAGGTTCCTGTAGGAGCTCCTTGAACTGATTACGGTTGACACCTCAAACCTCACCAGAGCTAGATGATTGTAAATCTGCCAACAAACTGACATTTCTGACTTACGGCGTCTATTTCAATGTCTTATTCTTGAATGATACATGATGAATTCTTTAGAGTTTCTCTAAATATATCTTGAACACTGCTTTCACATCTAATGGACATTTTTAATTTTCATCTTGGAGCTCAATGAGGGCTACTTCTTTGGCAGCAACTATATCCACCATTTTGTGATGTTCTCAGTTGAGATGACTATTTTCCCTTGTCTCCTCACTCAAAACAGCTAATACTTGCTCTCCTTCCACAGAAGGGGCCTGCAGTTGCTGTTGAAGGTAAACAGCATCCTGGGTATAGGAAACTGAAGACATTCTAGTGTGAGAACACTTATCTAATTCCCCTTGCAGCTCTAAACTTCTTTCTTCAAACTTTTCAATAAACATTTATTTCTCATGTATGAGCTGTGTCAATTGCTTCTTCTCTTCTAAACTAGATGACATTTCCTTCATTCCTTTATGATCAGTCTCCATTCTCTCAATACTTCTTGTGAGTTCTGCTATTTCAGAGTCTCTGTCTTGATTGAGTTTAATTAGATGTTCACATTCCATCTGTAAGGCAGAGGTATTCAAATGATGTGCATTTGACAGTTCTTCAGTGATTTGCTCATACTTCTTTGCTTCTTCCAACAGTCTCTTTTTGGCCAAACACAACTCTGCTGCTATCTGTCCTTTATTCATTTAGAATCTCCACAATAGTATTTTGTCCAGAAGAATCTGATTGTTACCAGTAATATATTCTTCTAAGTGATGTCTTATTTCTTCACTTGCTAAAAGCAATATTTCATTATCTTTTGAGATCAAAAGCAACTTTCTGTAAATTTTCACTGAGCTGTTCTAGTTCTGATGCATTTGCTGTAAGTTTCTAACTTTGGCTTCTCTTTGTTTAAGTAAGTTATCCTTAAAACAACTGCTAGAGTCTTGATTAAGAGACTAAGTTAACTCATTTCGGACTCCAAAAACCTCTTCATTTTGCCTCATATGTTCTCTTAGTTCAAAGTTCTCCTTCTGGCTGTTTAAATTATTTTTTGTGATTTATTTAGCTGGTCTACAAAATATTATACTTTATCCTCAAGCTTTGTTTGGTTAAATGTAAATCATTTAGGACCAGTTCCCTTTGAATTAACTTTTCTTTCTGGACATAAAACTTTTTGGTAATGTTCATTTTAGCATCTTCGAGTTGATAAACTCTCTTTCTTTCATCATATAAATTTTGCTTCAGTTTACTGATGATGCTATCTCTTTCATTTTGTTATTTCATTAGCTGATCTCTCATCAAAATCATGTCCTTTCCAGCTGCTTGGTTCTGTTTGTCCAATTTCTATAACTCAGCTATCAGTGTTTCCCTTTCATTAATACTCTGATGAAGTTCTTGTTCCTTTGCCTCCAAATTAAGTCTTAAGTCATGTAATTCTTAATCCAAACTCGTGTCTCTCATAGCTGTACTTTTGATTACTTCATACTCATTGTTCAATGTTAAAAGCGATGCCTGAATTTCCTCCTTTTCTTGACTCATAACAATGACTTTTCTTCTAAAACTTGGACTTGCATTTTAAGTTTCAGATTGTCTTCAGTGAGACTGTTACCTTGGTTTAAACTACTCAGTCTCAATATTTCATTTGCTACATCAGACAGTGCTTGGTGCAGTGTGAACACTTTCTCCACTGATGTGGTCCGCGGAAGAATCCTTTCCTTTTGTGTCACAATGTCACTGCGCTGCAATTTCCTACATTCCAATTTCAAGCTTTCACATCCTGCAGTTATTTGTCTCTTCTCCACACTTAGCTGTTCTTGTTCTCTCCTCAAAACATGTCTGCCACTTTTCCACAGAAGATAACTTTTTATTTATGTCTTTTATTTTATTCTTAAGTTCTTCAATTTCTTTGTAGACTCTACTTTTTCAGTTTGTAGAACTTGAATATTTTTTCACATCTCATGGATTTTAGAGTGATCAGTTTCTGTGACTCCAGAGCCACCTTGCTGTAACAGGTTTTTGTTTCAATTCGTTCATCATAGTCACTTAATTCCTCTTGATGCCAATGACTTAAGTCTGTCAACTTCTGTTGATGTGCGTTGTGCTATACTGATATTTCATGTTGATGGTCATCAATTTCTTGCCTTCGGTTTTAAGTTCCTTAATGATATTTTGCAGTTCACAGATTTCATTTTGATCAGAGCTACATGTTCCTTGTGCTTTAGAAGTCTGATCAATATGCCTCCAATGGCCAAATACAGACTCGAGTCTTGAAACTTCATTTGATTATCTGTTTATTTCTTGCTGTGATGAAATTATGTCGGTGAAGTCAGTGCTGCAGCTCCAGCTCCCGACCGACCGCGGGCCGCGCGGCCGACGCAGTTTCAGCAGCGGCCCCTGGGCGCAGCCCGCCTGGCTCTGAGGCGCGGGCTTCTCCCTCTTCCCGTCCCGGTGGACGTCGGTAACTTGCGGATGGCCGCTTTATTTGAAGCTGTGGTGCTTCCCGCTCCTCTTCCACATCAGGGCGGAGCCTCCCCGGCCTTCCCTTCTCCGACCTCAAGACGGCGCGACGGCTTCGGCGTCCTTTCTCCTGGAGGGAGGCGATTCCCGGCCGTCCTCCCTGCCGCCCTCAGCGCGTCCTTTATAAGGTTCGAAACGCGGCGGGAGGGGAGCCAGGCCGCCCCGCACGGGCCGGAGACCGGCCCAGGCCGCCGCCGAGGCCCAAGCCGGGACGACGCCGCTGAGGGTGTGGAGAGCCGCCCGGTCGCTCCCTCCGAGAGAAGTGTCCGTCACTACGGGACTGTCCCGCCAAGTGTCCTCTCACCGCGCCTGCGCGAGCCTGAGTCGCTCAGGAAGTGACGACACAAGACGGGTTCCTAGGCAACGCGGGCGGGGCGGGGCGGGGCTCCCACCAATGGCGGGTTCCGCCTGGGAGCGCGGTGTCCCGTAGCGCTGTAGGTGACCAAGATTGACAGTGTCCTGCATGTTTTGAAAGAGTCAGAGGGCTGGATTTTGAAATGGTCCTAACACAGAGAATGATATTGGAGGGGATGGACATGCTAATAACACTGATTTGCTCATTAGACAGTGTATACATGCGTCCACATATCACACTGTACCCCATCCATATGTGCAGTTATTAAGTTTCCTTAAAAACATGAATGACAGCAAAAAAAACCTTGGGATGTCTGAAGTGCATTAACTTACTGCAATTTAATTCAGTTGAATTCTACCAAATACTCTAGACAAAATACTTATAAAATAAATTATCAAAAACAAAAAAGTTGATACATAGAAGCAAATACAGCATAAGGTGGAGGCTTTTGTTCTTAAAATACGGTTTCCGTCATGTTATCCCCTCACTCAAAGCTTTCAGAGCTTCCCTATTATCCAAAGACCAGACCTGTAAGGTTGACACTGAAGGTCCTCCCACACCGACCTCTGAGCTGTCCATGCAGTGGCACCTCCAGGTCTCGGAGCAGCAGCCCAGTCAGTCCAGGAATCCTCTCCAGGTCCCTCCTTCCTCACTCCTGTGGTTGGTTTATTCCCCCTGCCTGCAATGCTCCCTCTCCTCCCTCTCATTCAGCTAAAACTCTTTCTCTCCTTCAAGGCCTTTCTGAACGTTTCTCCCAAGTAAACAATAATTGGTGAAATTAAAAAACTACAACAAAAAACCAGTTACAGCCCCCAGAAATTTTCCTAAGGGCACACATGAAATGAAGAAACTTTTGTTCAGAGCAGAGAGTTTGTGGCATTTGAGCCGTGATCTGCTTCCATCCTCCTCACCCAGCTCGGTGCAAAAGAAGATCTGCTCTGCACAGCTTGGGTGGAGAAGACAGGGCTCACTTTCCCTACAGCTCCTGGGCTAGGGCTATGCTTTCACCCTGTGACGGGCAGGACAGCAGCCTCTTTTGCCACCCCGGCTCTGTGTTGCAGAAGCACTATTCCAGGCAGGAGTGGCTGAGAAAATCCCGGTTTCCTTCCCGTCACTAGGCCCCCACTGCTGAGTGAAGAAACAGTGAGGTTCATAATTTGAGAAGGAGAGCTTTTGAGAAGGGCTGCATCCTTCGGGTAGCCATTCCAACAGACTGGAAAACTGGGTCCCAGCAAGATGCCAGGAACACATGTTTGAGGCAGGGACAAAGGGAACTGAAATTTATGCTGAGTGGGATGGCCAGATATGCATATTCAACAAGCTATAGGATGAGTCATGAATATTTATGAAAGAGAAACATGTGCACAATAAAGTTTTGTCCTCTTCTATAGGGTCCATGTTCAGAACATTCCACCCTTTTATGTCAAAAAGGTGAAGCAAGGATACAAAACCCCTCTCTGTGCATGCTCTGCAGACTGGCAAAACCACTGCATGGTGGGTGGTCCCTTGTCAGGAAAGAATTCTGGTCTGGACCATGAGATTGGTTTCTGTTCAGGCCTTACAAAGAAAACCATTGGTCTTTAGCAAGGGAGAGGGTATAATGAGACATGTCTGACCTCCAATCCCATCAGGACTGGAAACTCAGTTTTAGGGCTTCTCTGGGGTCCCCTTGGCCATGAGGGGGTCTGTTCAGTCAGCAAAGCGTTTAGGATTTTATTGTAGTTCACATCACTCATAGGGTAGAAGCTCTACTCCAGGTATGGTGGCTGAGAACACTGTATTCCCATCACTCCTATCCCAGTTTGCTTGTAGAGGAGAAGTTCTATGAAATTCAAACTAAGCTGACCTGGGGCTACCATCCCACCTAATGCCCACTTATAGGGCAGGGGTGTCACACTGGGAGACCAGGCCATGGTCCCTGCTCCCAGCTCTAGTGCTTAGGTGCAGGTTTTGCCCAGGAGGAGGGGCAGGCCGTAACAGAGAGCTATGCAGGTCTTCCCAAGGAGACTGCTTTTACTTGGAACAGAGCCTGCACGGGTTTGCACCTAAGAGCGCTGTCAAAGACAATAGGGATTTAGATGGTAAGTGATTAAGAAGAAGTTTTCCTGGGAGAACCGGGGAAAGAGACTGCTAAGAAGGGCTCCCCTAGTGCAACTGCACCAGGACTGCACCGCATATTAATCTTCCAAGACACCAAGTTACAGCATAGAAAGAGGTTTATTCACAAGATCTACAGCCAAATGAGGAGGCGGGAGGAAACCTCAAATCTGCCTCCCTAAGGAGTTCGGGGCTAGGGATTTTAAGGGATTTGGATGCTTAGTGGCCGGAGATATGGGGATTGTTGATTTCATCAAAGTCACAGTAGAACTGAAGGGGAGGATGTGAGGGAGGCCTGTTCTAATGAAGAAGCACTGAGGAGGACTCGCCACAAAGATAACATGCACGTAGGAAAGACCAAACTTTGTTTTGCTGAGGATGTGAGGTTCCATCTACCCATCCACCCATCCATCCCTCACCCTTCCATTCCTCCATTCATTCTGATTTTCCACTCTGTCCAGGAAAGGCTCAGTGGGAACGGCTCAAAGGATAGACAATGCGTAGGATGATGGCTCTGCAACCTCAAGGAATCTACGATTGCCTGTGAAGCCAGCTATGTGCTTGCACGATAATTTCAGTTTTCATTCATGGGAATTCCAATCTCACTCTGTCATATTCCTGATCCATAAAGCCCAATTCCCCCCATTCACGTGGTGATGGGAGTAGCTGGGAAAACGAGAGGCTGAGAAATTCCGTTTTCAACTGGAACGCGAGTCGTGGCTCCATTTGTGCTCCAGGGGGCGCCATCACACAAGACGCTGAGGTCTGTGACTGGCTTTATGCAACAACACTGCTCTTGGTGGGCCAGATATTTGGGGATAAGGAGATTTTAGAGAAGTTCTCTATCTTTTGGTATTCGGGAAGGTAGGTTATCTGAGATTGCATTTTTTATGATCTAAGTATAACATACATTGAGGAAGGTGCACAAATCTTAAATGTATGTATGGCTCAGTGAATTTTCATAGCTACCTACTCAAGTACTCCCCCTCCAGATGAAGTCAGAGAACATCTCCAACCTCCCGGAATGTTCCCTCATGCCGCTTCACAGAATATGCCCATTCCCATAGCCATAATTCTGACTGATCAGCGTAGGCTGGTTTTACCAGTCTCGAACTTTATAAAAATGGAACTATGTGGTATGCACTTTCCCTCTGGCCTGCTCCTTCTGCCCATCCTGCGTCCGTGAGTCACTATATCGATTCATTTAGCAGCCGTCTGTCCTTTTCATTACTGTGTATCATTCCAATAAAGGGAAACTTCCAACATATTTATCCATTATCTTGCTGATGGACATTCGGGCTTGCAGTTTGGGGTTATTATGGCTAAAGCCGCTATGAGCATTCTTGTACATGTCCTTTGGTGGACATGTTGCTTATTACTGTTATTATTTACCTAGGAGTAGAATCTGATAGTATTTTCAGTTTCTAAAACCTTTGTTCCTAGGTAAAGTGCATTAGTTTTTATCTCTGAATGTGTTTACAGGTATTTGTTAAAGAGAGATCTATCCGCAACACACGGAAAATGAACTTTTGATTATCACCGGCTCTGTTCTGGAGAAGGCGTGCTGCTTCGCTCTAAAGTCACACAATGAGCAACATCGACACGCGTGTGCTGCCTAGGGGACAGACGAGACCATAAAGGGAGTTTGGTGTAGGCCGCCCCTTAAATTTAATTGAGTAAAATTAATTGGTTAGAACAGTATATGTGTATGTATGCATGGAGTCGGCTCTGGAAAGAACGTGTCTCTCTTTTTTTTTTTTTTTTTTTTGAGACAGAGTCTCGCTTTGTTGCCCAGGCTAGAGTGAGTGCCGTGGCGTCAGCCTAGCTCACAGCAACCTCAAACTCCTGGGCTCAAACAATCCTTCTGCCTCAGCCTCCCAAGTAGCTGGGACTACAGGCATGCGCCACCATGCCCGGCTAATTTTTCTATATATATTAGTTGGCCAATTAATTTCTTTCTATTTATAGTAGAGACGGGGTCTCACTCTTGCTCAGGCTGGTTTTGAACTCCTGACCTCGAGCAATCCGCCCGCCTCAGCCTACCAGAGAGCTAGGATTATAGCCGTGAGCCACCGCGCCCGGCCTTCTCATTAGATTTAGAAACATGTGTTCTGAGAAACCAGTCACCCACCTGTAGTTAACCACACGTCCAGTGCTTGTAACCATTCTGCCCTTTCTGTATCTGGCCTAATATTGTTTATCTTAACATTTTCCTGCTGGGTGAGGTGGCCCGTACCTGTAGTTCCAGCCACTCAGGAGGCTAAGGCAGGAGGATCGCTTAAGGCCAGGAGGGCAAGGCTGGGAATAGTCACTGCCCAGGCCTGGGCAACAAAGTGAATGAACCGACACTCATTCATTCATCCAGTATCGAATCAATCGCCTACATTGCTCCAAGCTGAATGCAGGGGATACGATTGTACATGAGAAAGCCACAGCCCTTTACCTCGTGGATCTTACGCAAATATAAATGCAAACTCTCACGCACAGTCGGTTGAGAGAAACTCACTCCTGGCTCGGCCTTCTGCTCCTGCCGTGGATTCACCAGCGAAGAGTGGGAAAAAGTCTCTTTCCCCCACTCCCACGGGAGGCAAGACTGAGCTGTGCTGTCCCCCCCCTCCTCCCCTCTACTCCACCCCCACCCCCGCCCCAGCCGTCCCCACCAGGGCGGTGGAGGGGATTAAGGCCGGTTGCCCTGGAGAAGGATCAGAGGAGACACAAGCAGCCTGGTGGAGGGGTGGGGGGCGATGGGGAGGGTGGGAAGGAGAGAAGGGAGATTCCTCAACCTGAGAGAAAGCAGGATGTGGGGGGGGCCCTGGGGGGACAGAGACCAAGCCCCCTGCACCCAGCACTCCAGGGCGGGAGCGGGGGTGACGACAGGTTCCAAGGGTGCTCAGGGCGGCCGCGTGCTAGGTGTGGGGCCTTGGCTCGGGGTGGCCTGCCCAGCCTGGGAGCAGAGCGGCGGACCTTGGAAATGGACCCCGAGGCCCCCCGCGACCAGGTGGGCTCAGAGGCGCTTCCTCAAGTCCCCCGGACTCCTGCAGGGCCCTGGCTACAGCAACCCTGCCGTCCCACTGCTCTGCCAGGGCAGAGCTGGGAGCTGGATGCTGTCTGACTTAGGAAAATGAAGCACGAACGTTTCCTGTACCCAAGTGTTGTGAAGCAAATTTATACCCATCCCGCGCACACACACACACACACACAAGATTCCTGGGTTTCATTTATCAGCTCCTCACTCTGCGTTACACATTGTTTTCACAGCACAGAGAATGAAACCGGGCCGGAAGCCTCATCCGTCCACAGCAGGGCGGCTCTGGTTGAAGGCACACCCTCACTGAGAGTGTGGGCGGGGTGGCCGCCCACGCCCGCCACCCCAGCACTGTGGGAGGCTGAGGCAGGAGGACCCCTTGAGCCCAGGAGTTCCAGGTCACAGTGAGGTAGGAGCCCACCACTGCGCTGCGGCCTGGGCCACAGAGCAAGCCCGGAAAGCCCACGCCGCAGTGGTTCGCTCGACTGGCGCAGGTCGCCAGTCCTATGCAGGGCCTGGGCGGTCCTTACGGCTGCACGAGGCAGCTCGGGGCGGTCAAACAGCCCCTTAAATTTCCACAGAGCAGTCCCCAGGTCCCTTTGGGGGTCAAAATATCACTAGGGGGACAGAGGGGCTTGGGGCACCCCTTCCTCAATGAAGGTAGCTCTACTTTAAAAAAAAAAAGAAGCTGCTGGCCGGGCGCGGTGGCTCATGTCTGTAACCCTAGCACTCTGGGAGGCCGAGGCGGGTGGATTACTCAAGGTCAGGAGTTGGAAACCAGCCTGAGCAAGAGCGAGACCCCGTCTCTACTAAAAATAGAAAGAAACTAATTGACCAACTAAAAAAATATATATATATACAAAGAATTAGCCCAGCATGGTGGCGCATGCCTGTGTTCCCAGCTACTTGGGAGGCTGAGGCAGGAGGATTGCTTGAGCCCAGGAGTTTGAGGTTGCTGTGAGCTAGGCTGAGGCCACGGCACTCACTCTAGCGTGGGCGACAGAGTGAGACTCTGTCTCAAAAAAAAAAAGCTACCGAGGTATAATTTACACACACAAATGCACTCATTATAAGTGTGCAGTTCAATGGGTTCTGTCAAACGTAGACGTCGACATCACAGTCCGTACAGAGCGCCATGCCCACGGCCCCCCAAGTCCCCTGTCTCTGCGCAACAGGCACCCCGCCCCGGCACCCAGGGTCCGCCTCCGCCGCCGTGGGCTGGGCTTGCCTGTTCCGAACTCTCACGCGAAGGGAATCACACGGAGCGCCCTGGCTCGTGTCGGGCTCCCTTCTCTCGGCTTGCTGGTGTTAGAGTCTCCCGTGCTCTGCTCGCTTCCTCACTGCTGAGTTGGGTTCCACGGTACGAGTGCACCACCGTGCATTGCTTCACCTGCTGGTGGACACCTGGCGCTTTCCCGCTTTTTGTCTATTATAAATAAGCAAAGCAGCTCTGCACTTAACTTGTCTTACATGCTCAGCTTGGAATATCATTTTGGCGAATGCATTTGGCTTCTCAAAAAGGGAAGTAGAAGGAAGGAAGGAAGGAGGAAGGGCTGTGCCCTGGAAGAAAACCACTGGTGGAATAGAAAAAGCTTAGACTTCGGAGCTGGATACAGAGCTGGGCTTGGAGCCTGGCTCTGTTGCTTGTTGCATCAGCCTGAATGAACAATGACACTTTTTTTATGTGTCAGTTCTCTTAGTGTAAAATGAGGATGCTCCCACATGGGGTTATTGAGAGGATTAAATCCAGGGAGCTCAAATACATCTAGTGTATAGCAAGTGCTCAAAAAATGATCGTTTTCGCCCATCGTCCTGCCTGGGAGCGAGAAGAGCTTCCGGAAGGGCTCTCCTGCCTCTTTGCTCAGCGGAGCAAGTCCAGTCCGTGCAGGTCCGGGAGCCGCCTGGGGGAGCTTCCCCGACTTGGCCCCGGTGCACACCGTGTGGTTCAAGCCACATTCCCTGGACTCTTGCTTATTTCTAATCCTGCCCTAAATGGCCCTTTATGAGTCGATTAACTATTCGAAGCCCCAAAGTATCCCGGGTTGTCTTTAGCTTTGTGGGGGGACATTAGAGAAGACGAAGAGAATCTGAATTTGCTGCTCGGTCAGAATGGAATGTTCCCACCAGCAAACCACTGGAAGTTTCTAGAGAAACAGGCTCTTCAGAGACTGGGGCGAACGCGGCTCCCATTCTAGCAGACTTGCTCTGGAAAAGGCAACCGCCTGCTCCAAGCCCCGTGCCTGCCGCAGATTCTGGGACCTGCCCTGGGCGCGCCCGCTCCGTGGGAGCCTCGGGCAGGAGCTGCCTCCTCAGCGCTGCAGCGGCCCGTGAAATAACCACCTGTGGCACCTGGAAAAACAAAGGAGCTCGGGAAAGGTCATGGCAGGTCTGCTGGGGACAGAGGGGGCCTCGGCCAAGAGTGAGAAGACTGCAGTCTCCTGACGGTGCCGCCCCGGGCTCTGAGCAAATCCCCTTGGGAGCTCGGTTTCCGTAATGAAGGGTTGGGCGAGGTCGCTCCTGGCTCCGACATGCTGTAATTTCGTGATGCTGGCTGATCAGCGGATGTCAGGACTGCTGGGAACTTGGCTACCGTTCAGGTTCCCGATGCCCCTCAAACCCCCATATGAAGTCACTTTTACAGAAGTACAGGCCGGGAGGATTTGTGAGGCACGGGCAGACACGCAGGGACGCTTGGCTGGGGTCCCGGGAGTGTCCGCTCTGTTCCGACCTGCTGTCTTCCCAGGGGAGGTGAGACACACACCCGGAGCATCCCGGGAGGCGACCGGAGGTTACGTGGAGAAGTCGCACTGGAGCAGTAGCGCCGGGGGTCGTGGACAACTCAGCTTCAACAGACATCTCCTGAGCACCCAGCGGGGCAAATATTCACCCATGTAACTGACAGCTGTTCAACCAACAGCTGTCGTGCACCAGGCACCACACTACGCACTTGTGGAAATGTATGTTTTTAAAAGGAGGCACAGGCTTGTGTTTCAGGAATTTGGATAAGACAGGGAGTTTTGCTGCAGGAAGGCAGCGCGTGAATTCTGCAAGTGGAATGATGTGACTGGGGGTCCTGGAGGAGGTGTGTGGGATGGAGCCGTCGGGGAGTCCGCATGAAGCAAGTGGCACTTGAAGGAGTCGCTGAAGCAAGAATAGCACTCGCTTGGTGGAGTGGGGCTTGGGGTCGGGGTGTTCCAGGGGTGGGGAGCAGTGCCGGAGGACGCGGACACATGGGGTGGAAGGTTTGCAGCATTCTGACTACCAGCAGGAGGCTGGGTTGGGACACAAGCGTAGGGCATACGTAGAGGAAAGGTGGGGATTAATACTTTGGGCAGATCGAGGTTGAGCCTCCTCATTTTGGGACATATTAGAAGGGCGCCAGTGCCCTGCTCTGGGCAGGTGTGCATGGGGATCTGAACTCAGCCCTAACAGTGCTCATCTGGCTCTGCTGAACAGAGCGGAGTGGAGTTTGAGATAAGAGCCACGTGAACTTCCAGGTCTGAGTTCTAAGATTTAAGCACAGAGGGGTGAAGGCCGAGGGGAGAGGACGAAGGTCTGAGACTGATCTTTAGAGGCGCTCGGAGTGGCAGGGCCAAGGTAGAAGGCCAAG